CCTCCTGTGCCACTGCAGTGTGTCCTGGCTACTCGTGTCCAGGAGCTGCAGTGGTAGTGCCGTGTGCTAACCTGGACTCTCAGAGCTCTGCCTCCTGGGGCCAGCTGTGGCCTGTTTGGGTGACTACTGAGGTTGGCACACGCTGTATCTATGCCTCTGTGGTCCCTGAGTCCTAGGGATCTAGTCAGCATCATGCCCGTCATGAAAGAAATGTGAAAGTTGTCCAGCACAGTGGGTCGCCCGGGCCAGCCTAGCAGCAACAGCGGGAGGCTGGGGCTCTGGCCCGCGATGCTGCTCTGACCGTGTCAGAAGACTCTGTGAGCCCAGCGCTGCGGAGGCCACGGCCGTGGGCCAGAAGGACTTCTGCCAGGACGGCTGCCGCTACCTCCGCCTCAGACAGACCCCACCTGCTTACAGACCCTCGTGGCTTAGATCACTGTGACCCCACGCCTCGCGTCATCTCCCTGGTTCTCTGAGCACACCCAGGTTGGCCGTGGCACATGTGTCCCTGGACCAGTGCTCACTTCCAAGTGAGTGCCACGTCCTTGGTGCAACTCAGAACACGTAGAACCCGCCCCTGGCTGATGACCTGAGTTCTCTTCCTGCACCTGCTCTTCAGGGTGCCGGCCTGACCCAGCAGCCCTCAGGGGACGGCGCCACCCAGCAAGAGGTCCCCATGTCAAGTGCTCGGGAGGTGGAGCCTGGTGTGTCTCCACAGCATGCTGGCTCAGCACCCCCGAGCTAGCCACCTACCTGGGCGGGTTGTAACTGGCCAAGGCAATGTGTCCTCCGAAGGCCAAGGACAAAGAGAAGAAGATCTGGGTGGCCGCATCCAGCCACACCCGAGGGTTCTGGAGAATCTGCATCTGGAATGAGTCAGGTGGCCTCCTCAGGCAGCAGGCAGACCACACCTCGGCCCAGCACTGCTGCAGAGCCTCGCGGGGCTCCCACGGGGCACTCTCGCCGCAGGTGGGGCCAGCAGAGATACCAAAAACTGGGGACCATGCAGGAGCTGGTGGGCTTAGAGGGGAGACGGAACATGGCCAGTGCCGGCCACTCTGTGAGGTGGCTGGCAAGCCTGCAGCTCTGCTGGCCCTTATAGGCCCTGGCAGCGCAGGTGTCCAGGAGCAATCTACGCGCCCTCCCAGACCTGGTGGTTTGGGGGGACTTGAAGGACCCTGGGTGGGAGCCACCTGCACTCAGTGCCCTGCTTCTCTGCTGCCAGGACACCTGGTCCCGGCCAGCTCTCCCGGAACCTCCTGTAGCCTTCTGCCCAGGTGTCCTCGAGGCGCCAAAGCCTCCTGGTCCCACCAGTGAACTCATGCCCACTGTCTCCTAGTCCTCCAAAGCCCCTTTCCTGAGGCCCAGCAGCCCCCTCCCACCTTCGTGGCTCCCTGCCCTGGCTGGCCTGGCTTCTGACCCTGGACTGCCCAGGGCCCCTGTGCGTCTCCCGGGTGCTCACGCCTGAGAGGAAGGGCTGTGACCCTGGCCTGCGCCCTGGAGCCAGGACTCACTTACGTCGGGTGTGAACAGGTACATCAAGCCTTCTATGGCCCCAGGGAGGGTCAAGCCCCGGATGAGGAAGATGGTCAGGACCAGGTAAGGGAACAAGGCTGTGAAGTAGATGGCCTGGAGGGAGAGCAGAAGTCAGACGTGGCCCATCACAGGGCAGCTCCGCAGCAGCAGTGAGCAAGAAGCACCGGGGCCAGTGTCCTCTGTGTCTGGCCAGCAGTGGGCAGTCCAGGGATGGGGCGCCAGGGGCTTTGAACAGTCAGGCACACTTTCATGCCCCTCTGGGTTCATCCGAGGTGCACTGACCTCCTGGGACCAGCTGGAAGGATCCTGGCCAGGCCCGGTCCTGGGCCTCCCCGTCTCTCCGGGACACCCTCCTTTCTGACCTGTGTCTTTCCCCTCTGGGCCTGTCCAGTCTCCCTCCCTGGCAGGTCAGCCCTTGCTCTGCTGCCAGCTCCCTCTTTCTCCCCTCCTCTTCACCCCGATGACCCCACTGACCCGCAGGTTCTTCTCCCCATGTTCAGCTGGGTGTGGGCAAGACTGCTCCCTTGGTGTCCACCTGGGAAGGTCTAAACATGGAGGCTGCTCCTCACTGCCCCCAGCCCAGCACTGACAGACTTTGGCAACCGCTCAGGGTGCCTCTCCAGGGACATTTGGAACTTCGGCTCTGGTCTAGCGGAATCATTCCAGTCCTCTCGAGAGCAGAATGCCCATGGGAGAGGACACACGGCTTCAGCAGGGGGCAGAGGGCATACACAGGGCTAGGGCACAGAGTTCCTGCATCCCAGGGGTTTCAGGCATGGCCAGGGGCGCACAGACTCTGCCATCCCCTGAAAAGGACCTGTGTGTGCACAGATGGGACTAAGTGATGCCCCAGAGGAGAAATGTGGGGAGCCCTTGCTGGGGAGCAGAGGCCCTGGCTCCAGGGGTCCTCACTGCCCCTGGGGAAGCCTCATGGGTGGAAACCAGTGCAGCGTCCCTATTATCGAAGTCCCTCAAAGACAGCTGCCTGCCTAAGGCAGGACACACTGCAGTGCACTTGCCATTAGCAGCCTATCAGCAGAATGTGCAACGGAAGCACAGTCACATTCCACTTGTCCTTCTGGGGGACAGAAGGACAAGTGAAATGTGCTGCAGTTCTCAAGCATACTGCTTGGTCACCACTCGAAGACGGGCCACCTGCTACGGCAGCCGCTGCAGCAGCTGACCACCCCTTTTGGAGGCAGATGGAGCATGAAAGTACTGAGAGAAGCAGAAACAGGAACAAAGAGAAGTAGAAGAGGAAGAATGGCTAGGCACCGTGGGCACGCCTGTGATCCCAGCAAGTTGGGAGGCTGAGGCAGGAGGATCTCAAGTTCAAGGACAGCCTCAGCAATGTGGGACTCTCAGTAATTTAGCAAGTCCCTGTCTCAAAATAAAAAATAGAAAGGACTGGGGATGTGGCTCAGTGGTTAAAGTGCCACTGGGTTCAATCCCCAGTACCAAAAAAACAAACAAAAGCCTAACTAATGAAGGGGCAAAACAGCTTGTCATGGTCACATTAACTGCAAATGTCTCAGCACCTCAGGTGAAAAGCAGGGACGGTCCAATCAGATGACGAGGGAGACCTGTAAAGGGCTGTCTACAAGGACAACACCGTCAGTGCAGGGACTCGGATCCTCACTCCCACGTGGCCAGCAGATCGCCGGGATGGGGTGGCTGCCTGTGTTCAGAGCAGAGGGCTCCTGGGTGTGGGGGGCGTCTCCCAGTGGCCCAGGCCGCGGGCCCCACATCAGCTGCGGGTGCAGCAGGCAGGGCCCTGCCAGGGGCACTCACCTTCCCTGTGGTCTCGATGCCCCTGATGACACACAGATACAAGACTGCCCAGCAGGCGGCCGAGCACATGACCAGGCGCCACTGCAGCGTGCCGCTGTCCTCGATGTCGGCCGTGATGTTGAGCGTCTGCCGGTACCAGAAGTAGCTCACGGGGCTGCTGCCCTGGCACTCCCCCACCAACCCTGGAACAGAGGGGGGCAGGTCAGGGCCCGTCCAGGTGCTGCTGGGCTCCTGGCCTCCCTGGAGGCCCACAGGCCTCTCTGTCCTCTCCTCGGGGCCACAGTGGAGATCAGAAGCAGCTGTGCCAGGCCCACGCCTCCCGTGAGGGAACTGGGCCCCGGTCACCAGAGGCCAGCAATGGAAGACGAGAGCCGGGCTTCACAGTGGCCCGTGAGTGTGCTTGCTGGGCACAGACCTGCTTCCCACCTCTGTCCACCTGGCACTGGCCCTGGCCCCCAGCCCCCGGCCGTGGCCCTCACCTGTTCTGTTGAGGTCTAGCGGGCAGCTGCTCCAGGGCAGCGGGTACTGGAAGGAGTTGAGGAAGTACCAGAGAACCCACACCAGGACCGTGTTGTAGTACAGGCTGACCAGCAGGTTCACCGTGAAGCAGCCCAGCCCTGTGGGTGGGCAGCACGCCAAGCCAGGGAGAAGAAACAGACCCAGTGAGACCTCCGCACCACGCTTCCGTGCTCTTCCGGAACAAGCGCGCTCTGCATGGGGTTGCCTCCGCCCCCCGGGAGGACCTGGCCCCCAGCAGCAGGGCGGGGTCTGGGGGAGGTGTGCGCACCTACTCCGCCGAGGTAGGGGCAGATGGCCGTCCACACCCCGATGCTGCCCCTCCGCAGGCGCTGGCCGATGGCAAGCTCGATGTGGAAGAGGGGGATGCCCTCGAACACCAGGGCAATGAAGTAGGGGATGAGGAAGGCCCCTGGGGGGACACGGGCTGTCACCCACTGCCCCCTGGGCAGTGAGTGTGTGTTGGGGGTCAGGGAGAGCCACGTGCCGTCCTCTTGAAGTGGGGAGGGGCCCCAAGTGCTGGGGGCACCCCAGAGGTGCTGCGTGGTTGCTAGACCCATGCTGAATTGGGCTCTGTGAGGTGTGCGGAGTCCCCACAGGGCAGAGGGCTGTCCAGTCACGCTGGGCTCAGTGCCCCATGGCTCTCCTG